ATGAAGCTTCGAAAACGCCTACAGACGGTCGCCTAGCTGCAAAGAAAACCGTTAGCAGTTTGGCAGTGCTGAAATGTGTGTGTTTATTGTAAGCTGCAGCCTAAGCCTGCTTTTGTTGGGTATTTGGCCTACTTTAAGGTGTTCCACTCACATGTATGCATACCTATGTATACATTATTAGGGTGGTCCTTAAGATTATCAACATACAAATTTTGTATGCCGCCTCTTTTTATTTGTACTGCCTACAAAATAAAACGTCAATGGAAATTTTAAAGTTTAAAATAGTTTAAATTTTATTCTGCTAACTGGACATACTCGTGTATTGAAGACTATTCACATACATACATTCGATTCGCCAAATCGATTCATCATGCATTATTAAGCTCCAAAGAGAGTAATTTGTTTAAGTTATTTTTTTGGACTAATTGAATAATTTTTTATACTGTTTTTTCTATAACACTGGATAACACAGATAACTTTTTTCTTGAAAAATGACCAATAAACTCATGTTTAGGGAAGAGTTAGTGACGACTTCTTGAGCTCAAAGTGCATATTTTTAATTTTTTTTTTTTAGCAGTTTTTTGAAATTATTGCAGTTTTAGTGTTTTCGGGTAAGATTTTTTTTTTGACTAAACTGACTAGTCAAATCAGATAATTTACATACGCGTCATATATACCACTTATTTTTATCGGACCTACATTTGTTGAGTTATAGCTGGTCAAAGCCAAAGTTTCGTGCGATTTAAAAAAGTAAAATTTTCCACGCCCTAATAGCGACTCCTAAAAGTTTTTTTTTTTTAATTGAGAAATTTTGGTAGATGTCATTAGTTTTTACATAGAATAAACGGGTGACTTATAGAAATGTTGATATTTTAAGCACCACCCTAATATGCATCTCCTCGCAAATCTTTCACTTCAACAGCAATGACATTTCGGGCCGCAACAGCTGCAGACGCCAAGCGCGGCATAAGCGGTAGCGGTGAAAAATAATAATTTCCCATTCACATTCCACCGATTACATAAGGAAAAACAGCATTTGGGCAAATACATATTGACGACACAAACATATGTAAGTATATTATCTGTCGCATATACAGACATACATACTAAGCAAACATATACTGACTTAGCCAAGTATACATAGAGCACGTTATTTGTGTGGGTGAAATGCTCTTTTCAACTATCGATATGCTGCCATTTTTGCATTTTTCAAGGCCCGCGCCCATGATGCGTAAGCATAAAATATTCTGCAAATCAAAGTAATGCACTTGTGTGTGTGTGCCAATGTTGGTGAGTGTGCGTATGCGTGTGTATTTGTAAAAATATGGTTTTCCTGAATTTTTTTCCCAGAGATATCTACTTATATTTTATATTTTTATGATTTTCTTTTAAAATTTTATTTTATTTTTTAAAATTTTTCAATTTTCTCAGCACTTTTACAGCTTGCATTCGCATTTCCCTGACGCTGCCACAACCAGCTGCAATCAGTGCAAGTGCTCATCGGCCGCTTGGGAAAATCATTTAATGTGAAATGCTGTGTGTTAGTATCTATGTGGATAGTGGCGTGATGATTTTGCAGCAATAAGCCTAAAATTTTCAGGCCACGGCAGCTTTCACTCTATGAGTCACTAGAATATGCACCTATCTGAATAATTTACAATTTTTTCCATAGAGTAGACAATTTTTATGCAGCAAGTGCACATGCAAAGTTGCCAACAAATAGTGCTCATGGAATCATATCGTTAAAATAATTTTTTATTCCAAATTACAATTCCCAAGCAGTTCTTTGATATCGGTTGTGTTAGTTGCAGATGTGTATATATATATATATATATATATGAACCCCACAAAACACCTACAAATTACGAGAGTGAGTTTTCTTACAACGTACCCAGAAAAGTGTTACACTCTACTTTTATTTAATTAAAAGAGGTATCTGTCTCTGCCTCGTTGGCCTCGTTAATGCGCAGTAGTAAACGGTCTTACAAAATCTCTAACTGCCTTTTGACCTTTTCAACTTTCAGCGGCTGGTTTAGAGGCCGTTGACCATGCCATTAGAATGCCAGAATACACATCTTATAGAGGCGTAAAACATTCCGAGAGAAACGACTTGTGACTGGACTTAGTAGAGCTAGCGCCGCTTACCGAGGGCAGTTTTCATAACATGTTTTCTTGTAAAAATTTCCTTAAATAGTTAGTTAAACCTTTCATTTGAAAGAGCACAAAGTGGAACATCACCATTTTTTAAGAGTTTTTAAGCATCGAACTATGAGGCAGGGCATACTAGATAGAATACGCACTACCGAAAAGCGATTGTAAAGTTTTAATATAGAGCCTTTACAGTCGGGCTTCTACCCAGCAATGTGAGCAGTGGAAAGAAGAATTGGCCAAGTAAGTCAGTTAAAATTCTACTATCGTGTAAGGACACGTCAGCCACGGTAGCTTATTCAACTGAGCTGAAAGCCCAAGAATTTGAATTGATTAATTTGCCTAACTTAAGCGGCAGCCAAAACAGTGGGCAAAAGTTGACAGAAGGCTAATTGTTCTTATTGAAAGTTGTATCGAATTCTGTGTGTATCGTAAATCTTTATATTTGTTTGAGGAATCGAACCAAGTGATCAAGAAATCGACTACTCTGTACCTGAACCGACCTTCTAGACAAAAGGGTGGGCAATGGAGTCTCCTCTGAGGAATTAGTGTTTATAAGGCAGAAGTTCTAGCCCTAATATGTACGCCGTAACGAAGAAAACAATAAATATATTTTCAGTTAGCCAAGCGGGCTTCAAATCACTGAATGCGATAATGTTAAGACCAAAGAATGCAAGGAGTGCCTGGCAGCCCTAAATGACATTAGCACCGCCATCAAGGTCAGCCTCATATGGGTCCCCGGACATAAACATATTGCAGGAAATTGCAAGCCGATGACCTAGCCAGGAAGGGTACCAATCTTCCACTGTGTGATAACAAAGAGAGAATTTGGATACCCATGGCAACCTGCAAACTTCGTATTCTTCTCCTTAATTGGCGCTGCAATTTCCTAAGCGTCGTTTCTCTGCTTCTGTGCCGACTAATGCCAATTGGAAATGCCTAGTGAAGTAAAATCGTTCTCTTCTTGTGCAGTTGCCCAGCCTTAGCTAAGAACAGAGCCAGCTTTTTAGGTAAGCAATTCTTTAACTCTCTCACGGTACGTCGGGTGTAGGAATAAAAGCTATCCTACGCTTCATAAGAGCTTGAAAATGGTTCCATGAAATATAGTGACCCTGCAGGGAAAGCTACTAGTTGTGAACTAGAATTCTACCGGTTTGCGTTTCAGCCGAACTAGTTCACGTTCTATCCTTTTTCAATGTTAGCGACTGGTATTTTTAACACTGCGATGTCCTACGAGATGTCAATTGTCAGGCTATGCATCAGCATCTACTAGTATAAATACTAGTAGCATCATACCAGTTGATGAGATAGTCTGCCAATTCATGCCCCGTGAAAAGCATAAGTGTGCCTTTTTGCTCGCGACGCTCCAGCAGTCACAATGGCCGACAGAGAAGAGCACTCGCGTGGTAAGCCTGAGGTCCCAGGTTCAAATCCTGGCGCAGGTAAAATTTTTTTATTTTCTATTTTTTATTTTATTTTTATTTTTTATAAATTTATTTTTTTGTTTATGCTGTTTATTGTAATTTTTTAATTTAATAAAAAAAATATTTTTGTTTAATTTCTTTGTTTTTATATTTCTTCCTAAATGTTTTTTTGCAACGCAATTAGATTTTCAAATTTGTTATTTATTTATAAATTGAATAAATTATTTTTACTTACATTTATTTAACTTTAAAAATCTTAACCACCTCCAAGCGGCCTCGAACCTGCGATTTCAGAACCAGAACCAGTAGTCTTCACGTGACGCCACAGCCGACATTTGTAAGAAAAGCAATTCATTGCGTTTTATTTTTGGCTTTGGCAATTCAAAGGCAGATGTCGCTAATCGCCTAAGTTCTTCGAAATTGTCGAACTGGTAGGCACATACTAGTTAATGAACTAGTATTTTTTCTAACTGGTTTGGTTTTTCACTGCAGGGGTGTGAGGTTTCTAAGCTTCATAGTGGTATCTATTATTGAGAACTATAAGTATGTGCAACGTTTTTAAATGTTGAATTTTTCTCTGTAATCCTATGTTTTGGACAGACTACCCATCAAATGCCCAGACAGTTGTTGAGTCTATACTTATTGACATCAAGCCTATAAAGTAAAAACCAACCCCAAAATGTTGACCTTCTTTTTCCTCAGTATTCATAAAGTCAGTTGACTACTTCTAAGTTTTCTTAAAATTCTATAAGTGAAGATACGTCCCTTACTAGAATTTTTATGATATTTGAGCATTTCTTATACGTGCCAAGCGAGTAAAAAAAATTATGTTCTAGACCTAAAACTCTCTTTTTTTACGTATGCAAATTTATAAAAATATGTACCTATTTAAGACATCAGAAAAGACAGTAACATGTAAACTCTCGCTCTTGACAAAATTATTTAACGTTAAATAAAATCAGAGTACTCACTAACTTGCATATGTTAAACATGTTTAAACATTCCTACATTTGTTCAGTTATGCTGAAATAGCCCTACATACTTATACATATAATTATATATAAAAAAAAATAGTACCAAAACACTTACTTAGTATAGTAGCTTATTATATAATTCATTTCTTCCATAAATTACTCTTACTTATTTAAAATTTAATTATGCTTATTTTAAGCACTTGATTTTAACAATACCTATTTCTACGCTAAACATACGTAACTTAGTTTTTTAATTTAAAATTAATATAAATATTTGTATTTCTTAATAGTAGATAAATGCATTATATATGTACATATATTGGTTAGTTTCCCAATGTAAGACAATATTTCCTATGCAGGTAAGTTTCATGTATGTAGGTAGTTATTTATTATGTGCGCTTTGGTTTTAGTTTTTGGTTATTTTCTTTTTTAAAGTTTCTTCAACTGTACTCACCTATCGGCTGGTGCTGAACCGGAAGCCGGCTTTAGGCTTCTAAATGCTTTCAGCCACTTTGTTTTCATCGATGGCGCGGTCGCGGCTGAAAGTTTACGCTCGGCGCGTGGCGAACCCGGATCAACTTTACTGACGTACAAATCTTTCTGTAATTAAAAAGAAAAAAAATACAAAAACAATTGTTAATTGATAAAGTTTTATTTTAGTGCTTTGAAATAAAAAAGTAAAACGCAGGTATTCCCACTTTTAGTTTTAAAAAAGGTTTGTCGAATCCAAAGTATACGACTACATATTTGACTGCTTTTTTAATTCAAAACTTGAGCACAAATTAGGTATTAATAACCAAAATATATGGAATAAAATACAGCATCAAATCTACATACTTATGTATGTATATATTAAAACATGCTCTAAATTGTTGTTACTAGTTACTCAGGCTCAAAAAAGCTTATAAGCAAATAGTTTACCGAGTTGTGTTGAGAGATTTCCACTTACAATTCTCGTGTAAATATATCGAGCCCTAACCGTCAAACAGAGGTAAATAAGCGAAATTTATTTATTTTTTTTTCAAATCCTTTCTTTTGAGCAAAAATGCATCTATATTCTCTAGGAGTATTTCTGCATAAAAAATTTAATTTCAAAAGAAAGATCGCTTACTCCTTTTTAGCGGTTAGGGGTCGATGTATTTATTTATCATTTTATTATTATTCAGCCATTCGGACCAAGTCAAAAAAGTTGGCTATTATTTAGGGTTAGGTGCTTGCCATGCGTTGAAAAATATAAGGTAAGTTGGGCGATCCAAGATAAAAAAATACCCTTATGACAGGGTCACCGTTTTTTTAAATATTGAAATTTTTTTCAAAAGGTTAAAAATCCCAAAATATTCCTAATTTTGTAATTCTTTCCTACTTAATATATTTAAACTGTATTGCATTAACAAAGTAAAGCCTACTTTAAGCATTTAGTTAAAGAAAGCAAGTGAAAATATCCGATTTTTTTAATTGAAAAAAATATAAAAATATCAAAAATAATGACACCTTTATAGCGGAAATTTTGTTCTTATCGAGGAAGTAACCCCCCAATATACCTTCTCTTTGAGCGTAACAATCCTGAAACCGCGTCAATTCCACGCTTTGCTAACATTTAAATATTCACAATTTATATTCATACTTATTACGCATTGTGCTACTTCAGAAATGCATTCCGCCCGTAACTTGAATGGCAATAAACTGCGATAATTGCATCTCTCAACAGGAAAATTGCGAATTCATTTCCAACGCACACAGAATTTTTCAATCCTTGGCTTTTTATATTTGGATGCGCATTAAGTAGTCTTTCTTTAATTTTATTACAAAAATTATTACTATTTTCTGGGGGAAAATAAAGCGAATTGAGTTTGCAACTTTTTAAAACCTACTATTGAGCTTAAAATAAATAAGAATACCTGAATTACCGCAATTGCTACCCGTCGATGTTCGGTTGCTTACACGGTTGAATAACAAAGATACATAAATAGACAAGTACGTGCCCTCACTGTAATCAATATTTGGATGCAACAAAATTTCTCCGGCAATATTATACAAGATAATTTTTATTTACTAAAAATAATAACTACAGGCTGAGCTGATTTTTAATGCCGATATTTACATAAATACTTGAGACCAGATAAAAGTAAAAAAAAAAATAATAATAATAAATACGTGTTCCAGAGTAGAGGAAATCGTAAGCAGCTAGCCAAATGAATAGCGCAAAAATCCTCTTCTGTCAATAATATACGAGTGTGAACATAGAGGCTGATGTATGTACATATGTATGAATGTAGATATGTGAGCTTTAAAGTCGAAGGATTCGTTATATGTAAATATATACAAAAATATGTATTTTGCTATGATGTTGATGTGATCACTTCTCGGTATATGTGGGCGCATACATACACATACATACTATGCACAACGTGTCTGTGAGTAGATATGTACATATGTGCGACTTTTTCGTGTTGGAGTTTGCGTGAAAGTGGCCAACCTCATTTCTCATAATGCATCATTGCCACTTTTAATATCCTGTCACGTTGGTGATGGTTGCAAACTTACGGAAAAAAGTACACCATTTTTAACGGAAAATAAAATATGTATTTTAAAATGCAGAAAGTTGCGAGATTGTTGCACAGGTTTCTGTGTATACTGTCGAAATACTTGACAGCTCCGTACTACTTAAATGAAATGCACTCAGAATATCGGTAGTGATATCTATGACAGCGAAATTGACAGGAGACGGAAGTATATAAAAATGTATGGACAAAAGACGCCAAGAGACCGACGAATAAAAATAAATATTTAAAGTGGGAAATTAACGGGTATTTGCATGCATTTTTAAATGGGTGCAAAAACAAAAATGATATGTGTTCTATTCGTGAGTGGAAACAATCTAGGCGGCCATGAGTCAATTTTGCAAAGTTTGAAGAGAATTNATTTGCATGCATTTTTAAATGGGTGCAAAAACAAAAATGATATGTGTTCTGTTCGTGAGTGGAAACAATCTAGGCGGCCATGAGTCAATTTTGCAAAGTTTGAAGAGAATTAAAAAAAAAGTAGTCACATTTGATAGAGAACATTCCGAAGAGCATAGCGGATCAACAATTCAAGTTATATTTTATCGTTATATTTTTTCGAACATTATTGAATTTTAATTATTTAAGAAGTTAAATCAATTATTACATTATGCGTATCGATCGAGATAGTTTTGAAAAGGCTTCCTTTCAAACTATATGTAGAAGGGTTGCCGCTTGCTTGAAAAATCAAGTTAAACTTAAATGAAGTCAACTAGAAAAATTAAATAATAATCACTGTACGGGTGTCAGACGAAAACAGATTTTGGTCTGAAACATAATGAGCAGGGTTGCCAACTCTTTACAAATTTCAATTCAATGTATACAGGTTAAGTAAATTACTAGAGTATGGAATCAAACAAAATGGCTTGGAAAAAAAATTTATAAAATATACGAGGAATGCCAATTTAAATATCCATTAAAGTATGGCTGTCAGACAAAAAAAGGTTTAACAAAGATTTATTTTAAAATGTTTTAATGGGGTTGCCACCCGTTTGAAAAGTTGAATTTAATTAAAGTTTGGNTTCAATGTATACAGGTTAAGTAAATTACTAGAGTATGGAATCAAACAAAACGGCTTGGAAAAAAAATTTATAAAATATACGAGGAATGCCAATTTAAATATCCATTAAAGTATGGCTGTCAGACAAAAAAGGTTTAACAAAGATTTATTTTAAAATGTTTTAATGGGGTTGCCACCCGTTTGAAAAGTTGAATTTAATTAAAGTTTGCCTAAGTTATATGAAATATTAAAATATGAACGTTAAAGAAAGGAGTGGTAAGAAATCCCTAGTTTGAACACTGCAATATTAAAGAGGGTTGCCAGCTGTTTAAAAAGTTAAATTCAAATTATTTGATAAATTAAAGGAGTTTTTCAAAAGTTCGGTATCAAGTGAAGTGAGTTTAAAAGGCTATATTTCTGAACTATACTTAGGAGGGTTGCCATGTATTTAAAAAATTCAATTCAATTTAATTCATCAGGTAAACGAAATAAGTATAAGAATGTCAGTTGAAAAAGATTTACTAATTTTTTAAACAAGTATATTTAGCAGGGTTGCCACCTGTTTGAAAAGTTGAATTGCGCTAACTTAAACACAATTCCGAAGACGGCAGCGAACACGAAGACGAGTATTAATGCGGGGACTTATGACTTTTGCAAATTTAGAAGCTTTTCGTAAACTTTCAAAATTTGTGAACAAAAAATGTTTCCTCGTTTTTCGGATTCTTACTTTTCACGTTTGAGAAAAGCATCTAGCTACCGTTTTTTAACATTCTCTCATATCGTTTTTGCTATCACCTTTAATTCAATTTAAACCGATTCCTCCATTCTCAGTTCTTCGTTTACAATGGCCACCTTCATTTACGTTTCAAACAAAAAATCACACACCTGCCAACCGCTTTCTACAAACACATTAAAACATAGAGCTACAACAAAAAAAAAAAACGAAAACAAACCTGCCGACCAGCAGATGCCATCTAGCAACTATGTATCCTCAAATTCAATACACTTCCAAGTGAATGCATTCGATTGTCTAGTCGTGTGGTAAATTTCATTACGTTTTACACGATTCACCATTCATATTTGCTACAACCACATTCGGCATACCCGCCGTCCGATGCCACGCCAGCTCTACATACATAGAGGTGTACCACAATGAACATTTTTGCGCACGGAAATTGAAAAGGTGGTCAAGTGAAAATAATTTGGTTACATTACGAATTCAATCAACTGCAAATGTGGCAATCACCACTGTAAATGTGTACATATGCACGTATGCCTTATGTATGTATGTATGTACGTATAGAGGTGGCTAGCTAAACCCGCTCGTGCATTCAGATCGATATTTATATATTTGTGTTTATGCATGTATGTGTGTATGTTTGTACTACAAGGGTGCATGTGCTAAATGTGTTGGAATGCACACACACACATTTGTATGCTTTATGTGTTTTTTCCAGCAGCCATGCAATTGAGTTTATTTGTTCGCTGTTCGTTCGTGGTAGCACCATTTTTGGTATTTAAAATTGAATTTCGTTGGTTGGCTGTCCGTTGAATTACTAGAAATTTGTAAAATTTTCCAATTTTATTGAGTTTTCGAACTTTTTGCTGTAGCTCTAAAAATTATCTAATTTGCTACAAGTATCTAACGAAATGCCATGCAACTAATTGACGCGCCATAAAATAGCGTTCAGTAGTGCTGGGTTGTATAAAAGCCGATATTTTTTGATATTCTACTCGCTGATATCTGTCATTATCTGGACTGTAATATATGTAGATGAATGTATACGTTTTTGACTGCAGTCACTTTTTGTGTCTAAATATAAGTATACTTCGCAAAATTGTTAATATTCCGATATCCTCGGTTGATTATACGAGTTACGAGCATATTGGTCCAAGAATTTGATTTTAGTACAAATTAAATGGGATGCGTACTCAAACCCGTTAACGCAGCAGTTTATGCTTCCTTCCAGAACCGCTACATAGAACGACCGTTCATTGAGTATTATTGCGATCGCCAAAGTAACTTCACAAAT